AGTTCGCGGGGTTGCGGGCTCCTTACAGCGTGTCTGGTCGTAGACCCTCGCGTCCATATCCGCCAGGATATCAAAAGGCGGGAAACGTGCCAGGAAGTTCGCTGCCTCTACTGTGCGGTGATACGATCCATGGCCCTCTATGGAGCGCCGATATGGGCAAAGCGCTTATCAGCCTCCTACCGCTGCCGAGCTAAGCTCAAGCAAGCGCAGCGGGTAGCGGCCATTCGGATCGTCGGGGATACCGCACCATATCGTCGGAGGCGATACAGTCCTGGCGAGTTTCCCGCCTATTGATATCCTGGCGGATATGGCCGCGAGGGTCTACGACCAGATTCGCGCGATCCGCCAAGGTGAGAGCGGGAACGACCAGGACGAGCTCGAATTGCGGCGGAACGCTCACCGACAGGCACTGGCGCAGTAGCGCGCGCTGTTGGAACAGCCGCGGAATGTGCGCCGACGTGCTGTCGGTGAAGTTTTGCATAACCTCGAAGCTTGGGCAGGTAGGAAGGGAGGTCGCGTCACCTACCGACTGACACAGGTGCTCACTGGGCATGGCTGCTTCGGTGAGTACCTGAATCGGATTGGACGCGAGGAGACGGCACAATGCCAGCACTGCGTGGTCGACTGGGACTCCGCCCAGCACACGCTGGAAGACCGCCCTGGATGTAATCGGACGAGACTTGTCCCTGCCAGCAATCATTACTGTCATGCATGTCATGGGTGAGGAGGGCTGGGGCGAAGTGGTCTCTTTCTGTGAAGCTGTAATGCTCCAGAAAGAGACCGCTGAACGGGATCAGGAGAGGATCGATCCCGAGCGAAGAACACGTCGGCGGCGTAATGAGCAGCCGACGGGACCGCGGGCCGCCAGAGAGTGTGGACCTCTGGTGGCAGATTAATTGCTGCGGTAGGGGATAGGATGGCAGCCTGATCGCACTGAAAATGTGAGCGGGCTGCAACATCTGGATAGGCTGAGAAGCAGGAAGAAGCCACTGGCTTTCCCTGAGATGGGGCCTAGTCAGGTGCGGCTTCGATCTGGGGGACCTGAAATCACATGGCCCGGGTTCTCCCCAGAGCAGGGCGCCTAAGGCTGGCCGTCAGAGTGGTTTTTAGTGGAATCACCACATACTCCTGGCTCCTATATCCCCAAGGAGCCGGAGATCCGAAGGGATTTTCCACTCCGTCAACAAAAAAAAAAGTTTTTAAAGATAACTCGATTACGAGCAAGATTGTATATAAACGGTAACCCAAATGTACACATGTTCGATAAAAGCCTCAAAATGGAACGACAACAATTTAGAGTGCATACGTCACTGCTCGACCCGTGATATATCCCCAGAGTGTAGCTCTGGCAAAATACACCAACAGCGAGTGGAAGAAATGTCGAGGAGTGCCTCGATCAAATTCTACCCCCAAATATCGCCTAGTGTCACACATACAGCCACACATTAGTTACGTGCATCCACCATACATCAGCGCATTCACAAAATGAATACACAACCTATCAACGATCAGCTTCCAAGGAGTGCCTTGGTCAAGCCATACCGCAAATATTCAGTTAACTTAAATTTAATTGTAACCTTTGTTAAACACACCCCGCTAATACAATTACTCTATATATATTGTTTAAAATAAAAGAATTCAATAGTTTTCTTTTTGAGAATCAATAGTGTGTTTATTATTATCTAGTGAATCATCATCATCATTATCATCAGCTTATCGCAGTCCACTGCTGGACATAGGCCTCTCCCATTGCACGCCACTTAGATCGTGAATACAAAAAAAAATATTGTTCCAACTTCAACAAAAAAAACACAACAGAAATAGAAGTCTACGTAAGCTAGGACTGATGAATAACTTTGAACGCTAAACATCAATCCCACTTCTGAGCTGTAAGAACACACTTAAATTAAGATAAACTTCAGGCGGTTCTTGAGGACAAATGAGATAAATAGATCTCAGTACGTAGCTGTTCATTTTTAATACTAGCTAATAATTCGCGTTTTAGACAGAGAAAACAATTATTAAACCTTCCCCCTATTCTTACACACGTCATAATTTTCCTCTATTGGCTCTCGAACGATCAGGCATAAAAGAATACTCTTCCTGGACCTCTCGGCGGTGTCTTCATGACACTTTGGTGACACTCTATTATCATTTAACTCTTTTATTTCAGCAAAGCACTTGAACATTACATACTTTAACCATAAAATGTTTTACTGATAGATAGAACCCTAGCAGCCTTCCAACTAACATTATATCATCCTTGGGAGAGCCACACTTCGCTACCCATCAATAGTGTACAATTTTTTTATAGATCTGGCTTAGTCTGTCATTGATATTCAGGAACTGTACTGTGTATGTTACTATGGTGCACTGTTACCCTATGACTATAGCAAGTAATGTTAATATTATTTCTATGTTGTGAAAAAAACGACAATTACAGTAGAGAAAGAATAATTATACCAAATCACAGCTGCTTGTTTTAGTTCTCCCCTCAATTAAATTATTTTTATGGAGAGGAATTTACAATAATGAAGAGGTATGCATTACACTCAATTTAAAACAACATCATCATCAACAGCCTCTAATAGTCCACAGCTGGACATAGACGTCTCCTTAGAAAGGAGGTTTTGGCCATGGTATCATGCTGTCCAGACGGGTTGGTATACGGTTTGTGTCAAGTTTTCTTTCTCTTTGCAGTGCTGTTGTCCTGCATAGTTTGCTCCCTTAGTCGACTCTTACGACACCCCTGAGTAATCTCATTAAGTGGGGTGGTGACACTCCATATTATTAATCCATCACCAAACGGAGAAACACAAAACAACATGGTATACATCATGTATGTTTTTTCTTAAATTAAAATATTAGGAATTTGTACAGAAGAATTAGTTGAAAAGGTTCTTAAAGCTGCTATTTCATCCTTAGCTTTGTGTGCAGGTGGTTTGTTCTGACCCTTAGGTATATCCTTAACTGCATTTTATTTGCCCGCCTTTTCAGATATCCACTAGATCATTGGCCAACTGAAAGAGAAACTGAGGATCTTAGCATCCTAGTTTTTCAAATTCTACGTTACGTATTTCTATAAGAGCATATCCTCACATTTCATTAAAAAAATGTGTAAGTGCGAGTTCGAGTCGTGTGATGATGTTGCATTACGTAAGTTTGTGCACACATAATGCTTAACAATAATAGATATTTCCTTCTTAATACTTACAATTCTTGCTTTTATCGGTTTGATGCTCTTGAGCACGTCACATAAAGCCAATGGGATTGTTTTAATGCACACGTCATTACATAACATTGACGTGTAGGAATTCCCTTCACCAGGCAAGGTGATAGATACCACCGACATCTCAAACCGACTTAAACCACAAAATATTCAGGTACGGAGTCTTACTGGCTCTTTTACTCCATGTGTAGATGAAGTTAAAGAGGAGATCCCTGTACGGGGTGTACAGGGATCTCCTGTACACCCCGATCTCCTGTCCTGATCTCCTGTCTGGCTTGGCCGACTACTGCATAATAGGTGAAGTACAAAGGAGGGTTGCATTTGTTTTGATCCACTTACGCCTTCGTTTCGGGTTGATTTCTGCTAGGACGTGGCAATAGGTTATATTGCCCGGAGATCGTATTGCACTTTCCTGAACCAGAAGAGAACTCGTCCCGATTCTTTTCTGCCACTTTTTGGCCAATATCAAATCACTCTTCGGGCCATGGACAGATTTCCAAACTTCCGTTACCGATAGCTATGGCGAGATCGAAACTCTGTACTTACACTGAAACCTCCAAAAAAAAAAAAAGAAAAAAAAAAGATTGGCCTCAGAATCAAAATATGATCCGCTATTTTCCTACTAAAATACTCTTTTAAATTCCTCCCAAATAAGCGTGAGAAATTATTCATCTCCCATACAGACTTTGACAACTTCAAGGTTCATATTCGCGATTAATAGTAACCTATACAAAAATGCATAGTACCTATACTTACCTATTTGGTTCTACGTATTAACATTAGTACCTACAACTAAGTACAAACTTTTATGTTCATCTCTCAACGAATCAGTCCTGAATTTTGTTATAAAAAGTATTCAGTGTCCTACCTCGTGGGTACTATGAACTTACTCGTAAATCATAGGAATTTTATTTTAATCCATTTTATAGTTTCGTCTTAATGCACAGTTTCGATATAGAAAAAAAATAACTTGGTTTCGATTTTGATAATAGTGTCTTCCAATTCTTCCAAACAATTTTCAAAACATCTTAATGTTCAAAATTAAACTTGTTCAATGTTTTGTTTTAAGTACTTAATTTGTTTTTTCAAAATATACATTTTATTCAGGTAAAACAAAAGATAACGTGTACTGTGTACGAGGGTTAAGTAGTTCTGGAGTTTAGCCCCCGGAAATCCTTTAATTTAACACAAATTCAAATAGAAGTAATTGCAGCTATAACTGTGACATCTAGAAACCCTTTAGTCACTGTAATATGGCTAAAAAAGCGCTTTTTATTTCCGTTCGAAAAAAAAATGATAAAAAATGTTACACAAACATTGTCGTTTCCGTCCATTTTGCAATGTGCCGCCGCCGAGCGTTAGCTGTGGGCGGAGGTAAAGGAGCGGGAGGAAAATATACGTAGGTAGCACTACGATGAGTCGATTACGAAGTACGAACTAGCACGTGCAGTGAACACGCGACCCGTACGAGCGTGACCTGCTATTGGTGTTTCAGATATCGTTGTTTACGCTCACGTGGGGTAGTTGAGATACTTTTCCAACTCCTGTGCGTCAGTCTGATATTACTGTTCAGTGAATATTTTATGTACATTTTATGCGAAACGACTAAAATAAGTGTTTTCTTAATTACTTCCATTCTAACTGTGAAACGAGATGTAAAGATAATTTTTGTTTAACTGCATTGTGGTATTGTGATGGTGATAAAGCTTCATCAGACCTAATTTTAATTGTTTGTTGGTTTTCAACAATTATCTATTACTTTAGTACATCCATGTGTAGTAAGTATCTATTAGATATTACGTTTTAATAACTAAGTATTATATTTTGGCGTAATAATTCCAATGCCAATAGGTCGATATACGAGTACTATATCGATCTTATATTTTACAAAAGTATACCTACAGCTTCTGCGTTTTTTCGATGGTAATTTTTGTTTTATTATGAGTGATCGTTTACTAGTCGCAAAGGTTCAATGGTATATGTCCCGAACAAAATACACATGTAGTTTTTAGTTATTCTTATTAATTATTATCTAAAAATGTTAGTAGTTATTAAAAACAATGAACTTACGCGTATTTTATCAGTTGTCACGTTATAATTTGTAATATTGTGATAACTTTAAATTATCATCATCAACAGCCTTTACTAGTCCACTGCTGGACATAGGCCTCTCCGGAGAAAGGTTTTGGCTTAGTATACCACGCTGGCCAGACGGGTATAGGGTTTGTGTCAAGTTTTCCTTCTCTCTGTAGTGCTGTTGTCCTGCGTAGTTTGCTCCCTTAGTCGCCTCTTACGACACCAACGGGATGAATAGGGGTGGTGACACTCTGTATTCTTAATCCGTCACCAAAGTTTATATATTAATAATATTACAGAAGGTCGATATATTTCCATAACAGAAACGATAAATTTGTGTAACTTTTAGAATCATAAAGAAAAAATAAAATCCTACTTTATTTTAACTTGATGTTAGTATTTAGATGACCATTATAAATTTTATGCGTTGCCGCACTCTTGTAAGATAAAATTTTTGAATATAATCTCTGTGTTTATCCATATTTATTGTAATTTAACACTAACAATTAATTCGTTACGTTATGCTTCTAATACACTCAAAATGCCAGTCACTTCCTGCATAGATGTCAATACAAATTGAAAATATAAGTAGGTACAAGGCGCCAGTTCACATTTTAAACATCATATGTGCGTATCGGCTACTTATAATAGAGATATAAGGAATTTATTTTGTATACAGTGTAAATGTTTTATACTCAATGTTATAATCAAACTGATTTAATTCATGAAAAAGATACATAAAAATATTTTGTCCATAACATATTTCAAAGAATTCTGTGCTCCTCAGGTGACACAGGATATATTCCTAGTGCGAGAGTTGTCATTTATAAAAACAGGAGAAAAAAATTGTTAAACTTTTTATGTCGACAAAGTAGAAAATATATTATACGCACTGAGTAAATTTCGGAAATAAAATATGCTTCTAATAGTCCAGATTAGTGACCCGTCTGGTCCTATACCCGTATCATGAAAAAAACGTAAACTTAAGAAATAAATTTATAGCGTAAGAAATAAATCAGAAAGTCGCTTAATTTATGGACGCCCCCTTGCCTATTAAAACTGCCCAACTTTACCTCTGTGTCTAACTTTACCTCCCATTTTGTAAAGCTTGTTGAACTAACAATATTTAGTTCAATTTTTTAATTTCAAAATATTTCTTCGAATTTAATTAACTAGCTTTAATAAAGATGATCATTTAATCTACCAGTGCCCTGCCCTGATCTGACTATGTACCGATCGCAATATGTACACCAGGATATAATATAAATTATTGTTCGAGTGTAACGTAACTTGCAGACATTTAAATAAAATTAAAACCAAAACTAAAAGAGAAAACAAGAATGTGTCGTTAACAATATACTAATAGAGACAGATTAGAGATAAAGTACTACATCGATTGCTACTTTTTTATTCAGAGCAAAGATGGAATGGGTTCTTCGAAGTCCACAGATACACAGTACATTCAGCAACCTTGGCTTTGTACATGCAGATAGATATCACGTGAACGAAAATTGCAATGGTAATAATTTTTTCATTTGATTATAATCAATTTCCATTAATGGATATTTAGTAATAAAATGTAATTTGCAGCTGCGTTAAAGTCAATTCTTTACAACATATTGACAGAAGACAAGTATCTGCGTACTTACCGTAGAAGTATTAGTTTTGGACAAAATGTAAACAAAGACCTGATACCTTTATTAATACATGCAAAGGAAGATGTAACAATAGAGCTTTTGATTAGAATATTAGTCAACTTGACAATACCTATCGAGTGCTTACTATCAGTTGATGTTATTTCAAAGAATGACTTTGGGAGACATACAATATTTGAAATAAACAATTTACTCGCATCCACCAAAGCAGCTTTCACGGATCATCGAGCTACGAAAGTGATTATTGAGTTTGTGAAGAAAAATGTTGACTTTGAGCAAAAGGCAAAGTTGTCATCTGTACAATGCACAAACATTAGTAACAGCCTTCTATTGCTCAGAAACATTTTGCACATACCTGAGGAGTCATTTGGCCAAAGTCCAAGCTACAATGGCCCCACACACGCCGTACAGAATCAAATACTTTGGAATATTTTTAGCCAAAGTATTGATAAAGTTCTCATTATGTTAATGACGATCCCAGATGCGGTAAGTGATGAAAAAATATTATTAATGCTAGAAATATTAACTTCGAAATTTATTAGAAAACGCCATTCTGACGTTTATATTCCTCTGTTTTAGTTTACATATGTATTTGCAATGGTACTGTACAAACCCTGTGATACACTACATGGGGACAAGTTTTTATGTGTATTACTTTTAAGATCCGAGATGTGTGTTTTGTATTTTTTTTTCTTTCAGAATAAATGGGCGGTAACTATGGTTCAACTGATAGCCCTCCTATATAAAGATCAACATGTAGTAACTTTACATAAGTTACTTAATTTATGGCTTGAAGCCTCTTTATCTGACAGTTCCGAAGACAATGAAAGTAATACAACCCCACCTGACAGAGGTATTAATACGCAACTTGTCTTTCTTGAATATTTAAAAATGAAGAAATTACTGTAATTCATATAACACCGACAGGTAGCGAGGACTTTTCACCAACATTCACTTCGGATCCTACGTCGGATTCTTCGGACACGGGTGCCAGTGGCAAGAACAACGATGAACTTAATTTATTAAATAAAGCCTGGGATGCATCGTCTCAAATGAACATCACCAGTGAAAACGGTAGTCAAACATTTCAATCTCTAAATGAAAAAGACTTGAACTCAAGAAGTGACAATATTTGCATCGAAAATACCAACGGCGGTATCATGAAATCCGATTACGTATGTGTCATTACTGATATTTTGACGTCCGTAGGAATAAAAAGCATTGTTGCCTATTTTTTCATATTGTTTATTATAGGAAAAGGAGACAACTTGCAGCAGCGGTGTACAGTCCGATGCTAGAAGTGATCAAGTATTATCATCAAACAAAAATGATAAAAAGAATGTGATCGCTGAAAATTCAGATTGCGGATACGGCACACAAATAGAAAACCAAGAGTCTATATCAACATCTAGTAATGAGGACGAATTGCCAGCCAAGAAACCAGTGCATCAGAAACCGCACAATCCGAAACAGAGAATAAACAACAAGGTGCGCTCGTGCGTTACTATGCAGGATCGGAAGCGGAAAAAGATTGTGAAGAGAGGAAAAGCTAATATGTATACAAAACTAATTTTTTAGACATTTTATTTATCTTACATACTTTTTCAAAAATATTAATAGTATGATAACGTTGTTTTCAGCATCAACGTACAAGGCCTGTCATATAAAACGCCCACAGACGAAGATATATCGAATGTTCTTAAAGAATTTACTGTCGATTTTCTCTTAAAGGGATACAATTCATTGGTGCAGACCCTTCACAATCAAATTCTCACTAACTTGCAATTGGAAATTGACACATCGCATTTTTTTTGGCTCGTTACCTATTTTCTAAAATTCGCTACACAGATTGAATTAGACATAGAACACGTATGCTCGGTACTGTCATTCGACATTATATCATATTTGACGGCTGAAGGTGTTAACTTGTGTGAGCAGTTTGAACTTGCTATCAAACTGGATGGCAACGACTTGAAGCCAAACATTAGAAGACTTCATTTGGTAAGTCCTTACTAACTAAATGAGTTGCAATAGTTGTGTGAAATTTTGAAACTTTGAAAAGATAAGTCTTGGGTTCATGTTTTAGCATCCGCAACAAATAGTCCACTCCTTGTCTATTACAAATGTGTACCGGAAATACGAAACAATACTTTAGTATTTGTAAAATTTCACTCACTTACCCGTAGCCTCACAAACCGTAGCTTGCTTACAGATTACGTCAAACATTATGCTTTATGTACGTTTTATTTATTTATGTTATATTTATGTTATGTGCATTAATAAAAATATTTTTTAAACTACAGGTAGTCACAGCTTTGAGAGAAATTATTCAGGCTATAGAAGTGTATAAAAAGTTTTCACACATTAGCAAAGACGATCAAGAAGCGCTTGTCAATTTACAAATAAAGATATGTGAGACCGAGGAATTGCGGTCACTACTTGTACTGCTACTGCGTTATTACAATCCAAAATATAACACAAAACAATACTTGCAGGTATAAATAATTATACTAAATTCATGCGCTATGCGTCTAAACATTTTGACGGCACTTGGAATGATATTGCAACTGTGCTTGTTTCAAGAGAGTTAATTCTTAAATATCATTTTTTTTTTCATTGTATAAAGGGCAAACGAAACGAAATAAATTTCCTTAATCTGTTTTGATTTTATTCTACCTTTCATGAGTAAAATATTTTTCGTATTTCAGGATCTTGTGGTAACCAACCATATACTATTAATGTTCTTAGACGGTGCTATAAAGCTACCAGAATACTCGGGGACAACTAATATACTTGAGCATATTGGACAGTAAGTACTCAATTCATATCAACAGCCTATAATAGTCCAATGCTGGACATAGGCCTCTTCTTAGAAAAGGAGGTTTTGGCCTACTATACCACGCTGGCCAGACGGGTTTGTATAGAGTCTGTTTCAAGTTTTCCTTCTCTTTGCAGTGATGTTGTCTTGCTGTTTAAGTACTCAATTAGTAATCGTTTTTACTTCTCGTAGACATGAAAAGATAATATAATTGTATGAGGAATATAATAACATTGGCTATTTGATTACAACAGGTTTGCTACATCTGATATAATGTATCAGTACGGACTGTTGCTGGAAGATTATGCCGGTAACGGTGAATTTGTAAATGATTGCATATTCACACTAATGCACCACGTTGGGGGGGAACTCGGAAGTTTGATCACATTGTTCCAGCCAAAGATTTTAAAAACATTTACCTCCATATGGAAATCTGAGTTTGAAATTTGCGATGTAAGTGTTTTTATAGTCATAAGAAAATATATCATATTTTGCCACTACATCAGTGAATAATTTTAACGTCTTGTTCTTATTTATTAGGATTGGTCTGATCTTATAGAGTATGTAATAAATACTTTTATCAAAAAACCAAATTCTTTGCAAAGTACTGCTAATTGCCGGCTTGACACTGAAAGCTTTGATGACGACAAGATTGTGACGAGACCTAGTACTACCCCAATGTCACAAAAGAAGCTTGACGCCAACGCTGTTGACATGGTAATAAATCAAAAGTCCGCTCACATTAACTTCAACAACACTTCCAAGGAAAAGTACGTTACATTTAATTTATTTCATTATCGTTGTTTCGAGCATATACGAATGATTTTATTTATAGCGATGGCATAGTGAATTAATTTACTTTTGTAGGTGGACAGAGGATGAGCTATCTTCATTAAGTTGGAATTACATGCAGTGCAGTTCGTATCCTGATGTTGTGGGTGAAATCATTAAGTTGTTTAAAGAAGATGGTGTAATTAAGTCCAGAGACTCGGTTATTCACGAGCTTTTCAAACAAAATGCGATAAACAAAGAGGAATATGAGAAACTCGTAAAAGGAGAAACTGATAGAATCTCTAAAACCGTACAGGTCAATAAAAAGATGAGAGACGAAGAAATTGGCAAACTCTGTAAACAATTAACTCAAGATGGCAAGTTAAAGTGTTTGGAATGGGTTCAAAAAGTATTACTAGACACGTGTTTTGTCAAGATATGTTTAGAGAAAAGATCTAGGGAGAGTGAAAATGAAAACATATCAGATAAAACCAAATGGATGAAGCAAAAAACATCAAAAGATAAGAATGTTCTTTCACCGGTGTCCTACCATTCGCTTGGTAAGTGTGTTAATAACAAATAGACTTTTATATCTAATATATACATATTAATACGATATACATTCAGTCAAAAAAGTATCAGGAATGGATGATTTGTTTATGGTTCCAAATTATAAATTTTGTTTTTTTTGTTGTTGTTAGTTTGGTACAACTGTTTTCCATTTTGGCGCGGAGTTTGAGTTGCATCTGTTATTTATATTAAATACAGTACTGTTTTTGGTTATATCATATCTAGTGTGTATTGTGAATTTCATAATGGACAAAAACATCGAACAAAGAGTTTGTCTTAAATTTTGCATCGCCAATGCAATTTCGTGTTCGGAGTCACTGAAAATGTTACAGAAGGCTTACGGTGAATCGACATTATCAATAATATCGTGCTTATGAGTGGTACAAAGCGTTCAAAAGCGGTCGAGATGTGATGGAAGATTTGCCTCGCTCTGGTAGGCCATCAACGGCTGCAACTGAAGTTAACATCGCAAAAGTGAAGGAAATAGTGACTGAAAATCCTCATTAAACTTTGAGAGAGATAGCCGCCGAACTTTCTGTATTAACGCATTGTTACTGGTGACGAGACGTGGGTTTACGAGTTTAACATGCAAACGAGTCAATAAGCTTCGGATTGGCGCCTTCCAACTGAACCGAAACCGAAAAAACCACGCCAAAGTCGATCAAAAGTCTAAGTCATGTTAACTGTTTTCTTTGACTATCGCGGTGTTGTGCACTCGGAATTCTCGACGGAAGGTCAAACGGTAAATAAAGAATATTATTTGAGCGTTATGCGGCATTTAGGAGAGTAAATTCGACGAAAAAGGCCAGATTTGTGGAAAGAAAATTCTGGGATTTTGCACCACGATAATGCGCCAAACACTCAAAAATTATAGTGGTAATTGTTGGTTGGTTGGTTTGACATGCAAACGAGTCAATAAGCTTCGGATTGGCGCCTTCCAACTGAACCGAAACCGAAAAAAAACACGCCAAAGTCGATCAAAAGTCTAAGTCATGTTAACTGTTTTCTTTGACTATCGCGGTGTTGTGCACTCGGAATTCTTGACGGAAGGTCAAACGGTAAATAAAGAATATTATTTGAGCGTTATGCGGCATTTAGGAGAGTAAATTCGACGAAAAAGGCCAGATTTGTGGAAAGAAAATTCTTGGATTTTGCACCACGATAATGCGCCAAACACTCAACAACTATATTCACCAGATATGGCTCCAGCCGACTTCTTTCTTTTTTCCTAAACTCAAATTACAACTTCGTGGCACCCGTTTTCAATTGGTAGAAGACATAAAGGAGAATTCGCAGTGAGAACTGAACTCAATTCCGGAAACAGCGTTTAAAAAATGTTTTGGTGATTGGATTATTCGTTGGTATAGTGTATCGTTTCTGAAGGAGCATACTTCGAAGGTGATAAAATAAATTTGGATGAATAACAACCATTTTGTGTATTATTGATCTTTTCCCGGTACTTTCTTGACAGAGTAGTACACACAAGACAAGATTCGCATAAAATGTTACTGTTCTTGTAACTAATATGTGAAGCGGACAACTTCTGTGTACAAACATTAGTATTTTTAGTTTATTTTATTAGAAAAATAGTGAAAGTTCATAATGTTAAGGTATGGAAAAGCGACTGACTGTAATTGATTTATTTTCGTTGGTAGTAGTAATTATAAAATGTTGTTGACTCGAAGCGCAAACCTTTTAATTGTCGTTTCTCGTGGGCTTGCAGATAAGTAAAGAAAATAAAAACAATAGTCACTACTTTTTAATTAGTGGAATATTATAGTCTGAAGGAACGGGTTTTATGTCTCTTCAAAACAAAGGGTGTCCTACGACCAGACGAGATGATCATGCCTGACGGACGATTAACGTTGGGAAATTGTTCATATACTAATCGGCGCCAGAACTTTAATTGCGTGATCGTTAATGTGATATTTAAAAAACTACAATAAAGATAACAACAAACAAATGAAATATAAAGTAGGTGAATTGTAAAAGAAAAACAAATTTGGAAATAAAAGTAGAAGTCACAAACTTCTGAAAACCATTTCTCAGCAGATAGAAATTGTCAATTTTATTTAATTAAACTATAGTTTTAATCTGTTTTCTCATTTTCTACTTGTGTATAAGTCGACTAGAAAAACCTATAATAGTTAAAGTCGAAATTGGTTATCATATTTAAATACTTAATGAGACACTAAGAATGATACTTTTGCCATGATTATTAACTATTGTTAAATTAAAAGTTGAAGTACACTTTACACCCAATAATGTTGATGTATTTTACCAGCTTTTTTTTAAATTTTACTTTACTCAATTACAAATTATATTGCTCTTTTAGTTTTCAACCAGTCCGTACCGCTAGTACCGTGGAATTGCAAGCAAGCATCTATCTGCAAGGACTTGAAGTTCCTCCAGTTGTTACATAAGCTCGGATTCCATATGCCCGTCGACTCGGGCAAAGTTTTTATTCGAATACCTCATTTCTGGACTGCTGATTCTTTGTACGATGTAGCTGGTAAAATATTACCGATTGACGAAGGTAAGTGTACCTCACTACACAAGTTTTATAATCACTTCGAGGTCACCATTTGATTTTTCTACGTACGCTTTTATAAAACGGGCACAGTGTAATATTAGACTCCAATTTACCTTGTCCTGATTTGCCTTTAATAGTGGCAACTGACATAATAAGTGATTCGGTGTATACTGTAAGCTTGTATAATTTTGATTTTAAATAAATAAATAAAATACTTTAGATCTGCATTGACTGCATTCGCCTTTTTAATCCTTGCAGCTAAGTTGAAGTTCTCCATAAACGACATATCAGACAGCAGCATTACAAACTCGAAGCGACGAGATAGTTTGATATTATCAGCTTATCTCACAAAAGATATCACCATGATAGAGGCTTCAGACAACTTTTATCAAGTTCGCAAACAGAAAAATCTTGCTACAATGGTGAATTACACCCCTATGTAAGTATTACATAAATTAATTTATTTTCGAAAAATATTGATTCAATTCAAACCGTGCTCCGGCTTCAATTGCACAAAGGTTTTTCATACAATATGCCTTAAGGTGGTTAACAAAATAGTTATTTGAATATTTTAGGCCTGGATCTTCCTTTAACTCAGAAGCTAATAATGTTGACAAACACAACTGGTTGGAGGTCGTACAAAAATCACAGGAAGTCAAAATCGCCTTAAATATAGAAAGGTAAAGATATGTTCCATATTTTAAAAAGATAGTGATTTTTAAAGGTAGGTTTCAAATAAAAACTAGAAGAGCTCTTGCACATACATGGGTTGAAATTGACATTGGTGTTTTTTAGCAAAAAAACTATGTGCTTGTGCAATTCACACACGGCAGAAGTGAAATTTTAGAAAAAAAAAATTAAATAGAAAGATAAAAATATTCACACTCAAAATATTTTATTTTAAAAATACGCAATATACACACAAATATTATTGTGTATAAAATCAATACAAATAATTTACTAATGTTAATAAATTTAATTTTAAATAATTTATATAAATAAAAATTATTGTTTAAAATAACACGTGTTAAATAATTAACATAATTTAATTAACCAACGAATTTTAATACGCAAAATACAAAAAAATAAAACACGTGAATGATACACCACGTTGTTTATGATATATTTTCTGAAGGCTTCGTTGTACGCAGGCGCAGACACGTGATAGCATAGAGGAGATGAAGATTACAGAAAACACTGTATACTTGTAATCTATTTTATTCTCTCGCGGGCTAAATCCTATTTATCAATATGTTTGTCTCTTTTTACTGTCACTTTTTCGTTTCATCGATTTTCAAATCACAACGGTGCTAAAGAAGTATCTTTTTCATATTATTATTTATATTATATTTCATAAACCGTAATAAATTTGGTAATAAATCTAATTTCACCAGTTCGACAAGGATTTTGTAGTAGCGGTAACTGAATGGCTAGGGCGTCAAAATTAATAAAGTTGGCCACTCCTGTAGAAAACTTTTAGACCCGATCGAAGCATTTGCATCATTAATTTTATGACAGTGTTAAATCTTAACTTCTCATGTTTAATCCTTTATTATTTAAATATTTTTTACTAAAATAACGACAAATGTTACTAAAATTCGGTTACGACCAGAATTGCAAATCAAACTTGGTTTAAGGATAAGTTTTATAGTATAGGATAGTTTTTTAATATACACTAATTTAAATTGACCTCGTGATTATTATTAATAGTAATATCATAGAAGAGGACGTCATAATGCAACCACCCCTGATAGACAAAAAGGTGTTGGTGCCTCCATTGATGCTGGCGAACATTCCATCGGATCCAAGTTCATCGATGGAAGATTCTTGTCCTCAATTCCCCGGCTCCTCTCTCATGATGCCCAAAATAATGAGAATCAAACAAGAAACATCGCATTTCAATGTTCAAGTTGCTGAATCAGACTGCAACAACAGGTAGCTACATCTTTGTAAAATATTTTCATGTCATCATCATCATCATCATCATCAGCCTATCGCAGTCCACTGCTGGACATAGGCTCTCCCAGTGCACGCCACTTAGATCGATTTTGGGCTTCTCGCATCCAGCTCAAAACAAATATTCCTATATCTAATCTAGGTTAGTAAGTGTAGGTGAGAGTGCGACAGAACGGGAATATATCACAGCCAGATTGGCTGACGGAATATGTATATAAAGGCAGCGATGCGCGCTGTAAGACTTTTGTGATAGTATAGTAGATAGACATATTTTGTTTTCTCTACAGTGTATATGAAACGGCATCGGTGGCTTCGGATTTGACGCGAATGTACGTTTCCGATGAAGACGAAAAAGCAGACGAAATTTTGGTGCGACCCGTCATTCAAGTAAATCCAGACGACCAAATGGCGGTAGATGATTCCGAGAACGACAATGCAGGAAAACGTCCCAGAGTACAATTTTATCCTTCATTTTAATAATTACAATGTAATTGTAGGTGTAGTGTATCGTGTAAGTTGCCAATAGTGTTTTACATTACATATGAGATAAGTTTGAATATGTTTAGCGCAGAATTGGGTACCTGCTGTTAAAATTCATTACGATTTGCTGTACGTCTATTGCGTTGCCTAAATCTAAGATAAAATAAGTTTGTTTTTTCTTTTTACAAAACGGTGGTCGAGTGTTCGACGGTGTCACGTATTATGATGCAACGTTCAAATTGTGTAATAGTTACAATAAGATGTTCGATTAATACAATCGATACTTCTCACATTCCTAAGATTTAGGTGGATTTTTTAATTTTACAATGTTATGATGCTTGAGCATTAAAAGTATGACGTTTATTATAATGAATGTGTTTATATTATAGGAGGTATTATATCTTAATATGCGTTTGAAATGTTTTAAAATATTTTTATTCAATGTGACAATAGTGACACTGGGAATTAAATAGATTTTATAACACTATTACGTTTTATTAATAATTTACAATTATATTAACGAACTACACCGTACACATATAGTAACAACAATAGAATACCAACAATTAAGTCTTAACAATAACACTACAGTTTCTATTCGCTGATCACGAAAACATTCTCTTGTCATAATGGACAGGAACTATTGAAAAGTTATATAAATCCAGTCAGGTACATTTAAATTTGTATAAGTTACAAACTTCAAACCTAATGATGATTTTGGAGACTGTGACCCGCATTACTGTAAGAGTTAACATTATGCAAGTAGTTTTTAATAGCGTCGTCATAATTTTTTGAGTCTAAAGAATCCACGTCATGACCACCGGTGTTTCCATAATAGTTATGAGTATCTCCGAACGAATTACCGGGAGCTCCTTCCGAAGCGTAGTCATCACCATAGGGCACTAACTGTTGGGATTTTCTGGAATGTCCTTCGCTGTAGGAATGAATTTGGGGCTCATAAGATTCTCCGTTCGTTGACCCGTCCTGTGAATGATGCTCTTGTACCTGATAATCGCCGGGTTGATCGTGGAATTGATGGAGTTTGCTGTCTTGGCTACCGAAGGGTTCGTGGGCAGGCAATGTTTTTGGTGACTCGACATGAGGAACTTTGACAATCTGCGGCACTGGTACTGGATAAGGTTTAGAAATGTGCACAGGATATGGTACCTTTTGGATCACTTTTACTGGATAAGGCACTGGCACCTTGACAGCTACAGTTTTGGTTATTTTAATTATTCTTACTGGCGTTTCAGGTATCTCGACGTGCTCACCCAGATTGTGTAACTCCGTCTCATAGTCTTCGACAGGTATTGTGTGACTTTCGTGTGATGCGAAACCGTAGTAGACGCAGCACAGTAGTATTACTGATTTCTGGAATAAAGTGAATTACAAAACTTAGAGTTTATGTTCTTAACTTGTAGGGCCTGTACGTTATAGGCCTATTTCTTAGCGTTCCATGGATTCAGCGTGCGGGTGCCGGATCCATCGCATGATAGATGAATTACATACAATTCTGCACTGTACATATAACCTTTCACTGCGACTGTTTAGTCCACACTTGTGCATTAAACTCTAGTTTTTCTCTTAATTTTTTCGCCGGTGTCTCTGTATTTTTCTCGTGTACTTCTACATTGAATACATTTACGGACAGGTAATATACGATACGGACAGGTAGATACGTAGGGCTAAAGTAACGCCAGGATGTAGTTAGTGTAATATAAAATTAATAAATTTAACTGACTTCAAGAGGTTTCCGATTCTACAGAATATTTTTTGTGTATGTTTTTTTAACTGTTTAGGCTCTTCTCAAGGCTGGTCCCAGTTAAATTTGAAGAAAAACGAAAGGATGAAAAATACAGCTATATACAATTTTGTGCTGATTTAGGCGTATTGAAGTAGGTGGCTATCTTTTATACCTTATTTATACATATTCAAAATCTTCTATCAATAAAAAAATGGTAAGTATGCATTAAAATCAATAGGAGTTATACAATCTGAATCTATCAGTCGTGAAGCTAGTTGGCTATTTGATAAGTAAAGTGAAATTAAAATTTCGTAACAATTTACAAAATATTGTACTAAAGTATAAACAGTAGTAGTAGTATAGTTTGTAATATTGAATTGTAATATTGAATTTGATGTTCATAGCATAAAGTAATACAGTTCTAAGCTACATAGACAGGTCTAGTCGTAACAGCACGATTACAAGAATAGGAAATGTAATGTTATGTAACGAATCGCATAAGACGGTCAATTTCTGGCGTCTGAAGAAAAAAAAAGGAATCGACGTCGTAATAATGTAATAAGACTAGGAACTTGTTTACTAACCGGTATATCCATTGTTGCGTTCGAGCGTAGGTACGTTCGCAGTGCAGGAAAAAAACTATCGAACGACAACTCTTCCAAGTGCCTTATATATGGTACATTCTCCGAGAGACGGGCTAGACGATCGACCATTTACTTTCTGCAGCAGTCACTTGCGATCGCGAGGCGCTACAATAATGGTTTGTCACATAACAGGATAGGATTTTTTAAATATTAAGTAATAGATTATGTTATAATTATCTAAGTAGGAATAAGAAAGCTTATATTTACTAAGAACGAAACTGTCGTATAAAGTTAACCGATTCTGACCTATGGAGTATAAGGGTCACATTTAGATATGTAAGCAGATAGCTGACCTTGAAGAACACTGCAAAAACACGTTCATCCAACACAAATAGCGTCGTCGTCATTAAAGTTGAAACAAATTAATTTGTCAAAATTTTAGTTACAGGAAACTAATTTAATTTACTGATGATGATGATTAGGAGCCTACTAGGTAGTCGAAGGAGACTTCTTACTTTTGAATCTTATCTCTTCGAGGAGCTACAATAATAAAATGTCTACAGCAATAATCTTAATGTCTCTTAGTTTTTATGGATATACACAAGTTTTTCAAACCTGTCCATAATTCTAATAATTATGATGAAAGTTTTCATTTACAATAACAATAACAACAAATTTTACAATTTTAATTTAAAATTTTAACAATACAATTACAATAATAACGTTAGATTATTTGACACCAGTCTACATAATGCACACTTATTTTACAGTGAAAAGGGTACAGTGGTTTAAATATAATTATAGATCAATTCTGACCGACGGATAGGCTAGCTAAGCCACGGTACAATTATAATACAGTACTCCAACTTCATACAAACGGACGAAATGCGAGCTATACCTACGGGCCTCGATCTCGGGGTGCGCTCGGGGTGCAGACAGTCACGGCTGTACCGCAGTGTCGAACGGACGGTGTGTTGTTTTTTTAACAATAACCGAGTGATTTTTTTCTCTAAAAATCAGTTAATATGACGAGTAGGAAATATTGTGCTGTTTTTGGTTGTATGAATTCGTCAATAACGCATCCAGACATAAGTTTTTTTAAATTACCTGGAAACTCTGAAAGGTAAGACTATAAAATAATTTTACTTACTAGTAGATAGGTACATAATGTGTGTCTTTTTAATGGATAAGTATTTCCTTTTATCTCATGAAAAAAAAAGGTGTTTGGATTAACAAATAAAGCGAATAGAGTAACGGAAAGTTATTGAGACGAGTGAAATAGGTAGTTATATGCGGTTCTGAATGAATCATGATGCGGTAGGTACCTACCTACTTACGCTTGTGTTAAAACTTCGGTGCATGTGTGTTTTGTTACTTTGCATAATTCAAAGTAAAGACGTGGTATTTTATTATTAATAATATTTGTTTATTATCTGTGTGTATGAATAATACTAGAAAAATTTTTTTACCGTCTGTGTATCATTAGATAGTTTTCGAAATTTTCACAAAGTGTTTCTGCTGGTACTATAACAACATATACCACTAAAAACTGGTTTTATTTTCTCGGTATTAACAACAACAGCTAGACTCATATATAATATTTAGATGTTTGAGGGTTGTGATTTTAAAACATTCGTAGTCAGCTGTTCAGTTTTTTAATAATTAATTAATTGGTGACCAAAGAATTTTTGTTTTGAGTTGTTGCGAGTTATAGGTAGGTACCTAATTTTAGAGACGTTAATAAGCTGAGATAAAAAGTTACTTACTCGTCAGCTGTTTCTTGCATTCTAGTTGAGTAGGTAGGTGTTGGAGTTTCTAAGGATTGGAGTTTTGTAACGCGTAAGGAGAAAGCACATTTTTTTTATTCTATAGAAGGATTTTTAAGCTATTGCATAGCTTTTATCGCGGGCTGACCGAATCAAGAAATTCTCAAAACCTAACGAAAAATACCTGACACCACGCAGATTTCTTTTCTTTTAAAAAATAAATAAGAGTGCCACATGTATTTATTTTCTTCAGACGTCTTCAATGGTTGCAACTGATCCGGCGAGATGATTTGGAAAACAAACCTAACTTTAGTTGCTACCAAGTTTGTGAAAAACATTTTATTTTGGAGGATGTATTACATTCATCGAATAGAAAACTTTTAAAAAAGAATGAACATAAAATAATTAAATCCAATCAAAAAACAACACGCATTTTTATTGAACACTTCCTATTCAATATACAAAGTATTTCATTTATTTATATAAAAAGGATATTTACAATCACAAATCTAAATAGAAACAGAAAGTAGGCAAATATAATTAAAATGCTGGAGACGGGCAGCCCTAACGCATGTTTACGTACCGCGCGGCTGTAGGCATTTATTTCTATCATGCGGCCGAGTTACGCTACTGTATTATAATTGTACCGTGGCTAAGCCGTTGACCGCCAAGGACGCATTGATGAGTCATTCAATAAATTCATCGAGACGCATCCTAAAGTGTCCATCGCACTTCATTTTTTACAGACGAATAAAACTTGGCTAACGTGTTTTTTAGAATCAGAAATATTCATAAGAGGTCATCCTGAATTCGACTTTTATAATCATGCCTTAAAGCAGTGAGATATAGTCTAATTAGGCAGGTAATATTTAAAAAAATATTGATTTAAAAACTAACTTAGGTATAAAGCGCCATTGACGGCTTAAAGCGTCAATTAGTACTGTGACTACCCACGAATGAGCAAGCCAACACAACTGAGCATCATAAAGAAAGGGACTAGGTACATTAGTGTAAAATATTTATTATTTAGCATAGTACCTAGTCACTAACTAATAGTTTTAATCTTTGTTTGTAGTACATAGATTAATTTAAATATACACAGGGTTCCTGGGTATGTCGATCTGGATACTTTAGGGGTTGTAGTTGCCACCGTTTGTAATAGATTTCACTATGAAACACCATATCCCAAATCTAACCATTTCTAAGATATAGGAATTTTAAGATTTTTTAAGAATTTATATTCTTTATTTTATGCTTTTTTACTCTTTTGGGGAGATGATACATTGTTTTATAATTCCCATTACTAAAATTGTAGTTAACTTAAAAACATGGTTAACTTAACAAAGTAGATAGTTGATAATAGCACAACGAAATAAATTTGAAAAAATCCTTGACGAATTTTATAAAAAAGTCTAAAACAGCCAAACTGCGGATTTGAAAACATGTACATATTGTCCGCTATCTAACAAGGTATTTTTTTTATGGTATAAGGGGGCAAACGAGCAGACGGGTCACCTGATAGTAAGCAACTACGCATAGACAAAACACTATAAATCTAAGACAACTACGGCCGCCCATGGACACCTGCAGGAGCCCCTTCCGCTCAAGTCAGCGGGAGGGGGGATTTGGATTCCTGTAGTGATGTGCCGAGTCGCTGTTTTGGTGGATCGAATCGACTCGAGTCGGTTTATACGGTATTCGAATCATGACTCGATTCCGCGATTCCAGCCCAGTACTCGAGTTCTATGTTTAGTATTCGAATGTTAACTCCAGTCCAGAACTCGAGTTTAAGACTCGAGTCTAGAAATTCGAGTCCAGAACTCTAGTCTGGAAATTCGATCTAGAACTTGAGTCTAGAAATTCGGGTCCAGAACTCTTCTCCCCTGGGATAGGGCCTGATTAGGCATGGTGTCCATTCGGGGAGGACCTGAAATAACATGGTCCGGGTCCTCCCCAGAGTAGGACACCTTAGGCCGGCCGTCGGGGTGCTTTTTAGTGGAATCACCACATACTCCTGGCTCATAGTCCCCGAGGAGCAGGAGATCAGAAGGGATTTTGCACCCCAACAACAAAAAAAAAGGCGTCACATCATTGCTTATTTAAACAGATATCGAGTACGAGCGAGTCAACCTAACTCGTATGCTAGATTCGAGTCACATGGAATCGCTAAACAGAATCGAGTCAGCGAGTACAAATTCGATTCTTCCTGACTCGAGTGCCGGAATCGAGTCCGGCATACTCGATTCAAAATAAATTGGTATTCGAATAAGCGAGTCTAAAGCAGGAATCGAGTCTGACTCGAGTCAAGCCCTACTCGGCACATCGCTAGATTCCGGTAAACTCACTCACTTAGTGAAAGGCAACGAAAGAATTGCTTAACACCGGTTTTCCGTGAGGCCTTGGTGTCACTCCGATCGAGCCGACCCATTCGTGCCGAAGCATAGCTCTCCCACGGTAAAGAGAGAGAATAGTTAAGGTAAGTATTAGAATTCATAGAAAAATTAGCGGGAGTATTAAGAATTAGCGTACACCCCGCTATTACATTTATTTTAGAAAAATAATTAGGAAGTCCCCAAAATAAAAGTAAGGTGAACTTAAGTAGCGTTTTACATTGACGCGCCTGTTGGTCTAGTGATCCTTACCACTAAGTCAGAGGTCGTGGGTTCGATTTTCACCCAGGACAAATAACTGTGTAAGTCGTTTAATTACACCCAGACACGAACGAACAATTATTCGTGTCTGGGTGTAATTGGGTGATTCTTCGCTCTTTTTACTTCTGGGTCATTACCCGCGACATAGTAATCTTTGAAAAAATAAAATAATCTCTGATAATAAACTACATATTTTATTAAAATTCTTGTCATTGTGTCATGAGCTTGATTTAAATAATTGAGTATTTTAAAACAATTAATAATGGTGCATTTAATTTCTGCAGGTTTCAAATGACGCAGAAAACTGAAGAATTAAAAATAACAATTATTTACCCAATTTTATCTAAATTATGTATTTAGAAAAAAGTAAGTAGGTATGTTTATCATCAGTCTGGTTACCATAATACATGGCGCTGCCTATATAGTTTGGGATCAGACGGCCGTGTCTGAGATGTGCGAGGTTATTATTAGGTTACTAGGTTTATTTTCCGATTCCATTATTTGGAGTTTTCATAGACTATTATATCTATGTAAATCAGGCAGAGTACCTGTGAATATTCAGGAAATATTTAGTCAATCTTAGTTTCTCTAAAGT